ATATATGCGGCCCGTGGAAAATATTTTCCGCTGATACCTAACTAACTGTTTATAATGAAACCTGTAATTTTTTTCGACTAAGCCTGCGTGTTGCTTTGATAAAAACCATTCTTGGGTATCGTGCAATTGCGACGTGTATTATGCCACGAGCACGCGGTCGAGGGATATTGCAAGCGTTACGTTATGAGGAATAAGTGTTCCATTCTAAGGCAAATGGCAATGCATGTTGCGGCGGTAAAAAAGACAACCTATTCATATGAATCTTTTTTTTCAAAAGTGAAAATTGTCGAATCGGAGATGGCTCAAAACCAATGAGTAAGACTAACCAATTAACTTGCGCAGTATCAAAGATGCCAGTCGATACTGAGAAGTTAGGAAATGACATACAATCCGCACAAATACATTTCTTTGCAGTCTATATGTTATTACTTCTTGAAACCTCTCAATAATTCTTCACATTTGGCATATTTCACAAAAAAAAACATAATTCATGGTGTGTGTGACATGTTATTTAAGTGCGGCGCGCCGCAATCTGAAATATAATTTGAGCCCCAGAAGAATTTTGGTTTGGACACGGCTGATATAGAGAAAACACAAATACAGACAAAATTACATGATGAAAACAACCTAAATGACATATTTACTAACGTATGTTACTATGTAAGCTGCACTACCATGCTTTACATGCATTACTTTCGAAACCCAAAATATAACTCCAGTGGTCGATAGTAGGATTGTGTCACCAACCTTCTTTTCTCATACAAGAAAATATTGTTCCAGCGCATTTAACCCTACAAAACTTCAGGTAACACGAGTGCCGCCGCGTCCTGCAACCTACAGTCCTATACTACATACGCACGTCTACTCGATTGTGGACGGAACGTGATTCCCACAATGCAATGGGCTGTACACTTGTTATAAAATATTAGAACACTCGGTGGCTTAATGACTCGGTAGGCGTGGTCTTTTTACCACCTGTCAGAAAGGACGTCACATATCCGTTCGGGTGAAGAAGTTTGGGGCAACTCTTTGTTAAGATTTTAGATTCGTAATTGGACACGGACATAGCGATCGTTTCAATATTATGTTGTTGTTCTTGTTCTTTGACACGTTTTTAAAAAGTCGCTTTTCTCTTTGATTACTGGATCAATTGCTTTGAAATTTTCAGTGGTTAAAGATATAAATTTTCTTCAGAAAGCTATTACTTTTGTTTTGCTATGACGTCATCAAAATTATTGCCTTTAGGTGGCGCTACGTGTCCATATAGTTGAGCATAGCTCTCTTGTTTTTTTAATTATCCAGCTTGTAGAGATTTTGTCTTTGAGAGCATTAATAAGTAACGTGAAGCACTTCAATATTTCAGATAATGGCATTGAGACAGGTTGGCTGTAGAAAGAGACTTAGTGGTAGAGATGTAATTACAATTTTGAATTGTGACATTGTTGACACAATTGGGCGATAATGAAGATGGGAGTAATAGTGATTCAGATGAGGAATATGCGGGACATAGAGATGATTTGGGGGAGAATCAGGGGTAGGAAATCAGATAGTAAGTTCGTCTATACTGAGACTGGTGTAACAAGCACTGCAACTGCATATATGTCTAAGTTGATTGAAAGGTCGAAAAGCAAAAGAAAATATTTGATGAATAGTTAATGATATTTTGCCCTCTTTAAACTGACTGTTTAGCAGTATCTAAACAAAAGCATCAAGAAATTAGTAATTTTATTGTAGGGAGTACATTCTAAATATTACATAAACTTCTTCATTTTATTTAGACAGATACCATGAAATCGGAATTATCTGACGAAGAAAAAAAGAAGCTCCATCAGACAATAGAAAGTCAAAACCTGGTCAAGGTCCATTTATCTGGCGAAAACAAGAATTTACATAACCAGACATTATCTTTACTGGGAAAAGTATTTGTACCCAAGAGAATTTAGAAATAGAAACACCGTTAAATTATTTCAGAAAATTTTTCAGTGCGAAAATGTTCGAATTGCTGACTGAGCAAACCAGTTTCTATTCTGTCCAAAAAGATGGCAAGACTTTGAAACAACAAAAAAATAACTTGAGCAAATGATCGGAATGTTTCTTTACATGGGACTGGTGCAAATGTCAAATTTACTGGGAAAGATTCACATCATATGCACCTGTTGGCAGCGTGATGAGCACGAATAGGTTTCAACAAATATTCACATGGTCGACAATTTTGACTGACGAAAATAAAAAGAAAGATAAACTGTGGAAAATAAGGCCCTGGATAACCAAGATGAGAGAAGCTTGTTTAAAAATCCTACCCGAAGAATACAATTCCTTAGATGAAATGATGTGTCAATGTAAAGGACGAACAAGGCCCATTTTTTTTCAAATAAAAATGTTCAATAAACGGAAGTAAAAATCCTAAATATAAAAATTTTAGTCAGACTCTCTCGCCTTTTGAGTTTTTCAGTGTTAACAAATGCTGTTAGCATTAAGTAGTTAAAAAGTATTGAAATTCACAGTAACTATCCACAAACTATATGCTCTATGTACTTACTACTATATATATATATAAACTTTTTTAAAAATTTCTTTCGAAGTAAAAAATAATATTACGATGACTTATAGTTCGTTCGCAGTTTGTCAAAGTCGAGTATAGTGAGACGAAATTTGAGAATGCGTGACAGTAATATAAACTGAGATGGTGGTCTAAGTGTACCATAAGAAATGTAACAAAGAGATTAACTTTTGTTACAAGAATAACGGCTCTGAAACATAGGGGTCATGAGTTAGATAAGTTAGAGATATAAGTTTCAGAATTTCGAATCGAAGCAATTTCATGATGTCACCACGGAAAACTTCGTAGAGAACTGCGAATTCTACAATGCCAACCATAATTTTTTGAAAAAATAAAAGTAATAGCCTTTTAGCAACAACAACAATCTTGAACCACTGAAAATTTCAAAGCTATTGGTACAGTAGTTGGAAAAAAAGCGAATTTTCAAAAAAACAACAACAAGAATACTAACAACAACCACAATATAATAATAACAAGCGAGCGATGCTCTAATATATGGACACGAAAGCCAAAACGAAGTAGTACGTGCATGCAATATGTCACAGTAGAATACTGGTACGCCAACATGGCGCCCATGGCAAAGTTTGAAACTAAGCCCCCCTTAATAGTTGGTTTAAAAATTTATATGGACTGTTATTGAAAGGAGGTGCTTATTTCTTATTAACTGAATGAAAATAGCGAGTTTCACTTTTTTACAATTTGAAATTATTTTATATAAACATTTTACGATTAAAACTTTTCGCCGTTTTTGCGCCCCTGTTCAAACGGCGCCCATGGCACGAGCCATGACTGCCACACCCTAGATACGCCACTTCTGGTACCGCAGTCTTCACGACTACGTCTGACCACCAAGTCGCTGAACGCCACAGGTGCGCAATTTTTAATTCTGATGACGTCATCGCATACAAAAAACAAAACGAATCCCATAAAACTCACAGGAATTTTGAAATAAATAAAAGTAATAGCCTTTTAGCGAAAAAAGCAATATTTAATCACTTAAAATTTCAAAGTAATTGGTCAAGTAACTGAAGAAGGCGATTTTTCACAACAACAAGTATATATTCTGACAAAACGATTCGTATGTCCATTTCGTGCCCGAAGATAACTGGCTAACAAATCCCATACCCGACATGACTGGTAACCGAACGAGAGGCCGTTGTTCGCCATATGATCAAGCCGTCGCACCGAGATGGCGCACAACCTGAACTCAGGTTGTGTACCAGGTTAGGGTTCAGGTTATGCGACATCTTTGCGCATACTTCAGGAGCACCTCCGATACTGTAGTCTTTCCGACTTCGCCTCTGCGCTCATAACAGAAGTATTTCTGGTGTTAACCCTATATTGAAATACGTTATTAAACTCAGAGTTATATTAAAACTTGGATGTACCATAAAAAGTGAAGCTATAATCCCTTTCGGATATCACGATCCCCGGTTGGTACAATAGTGTCTAAAACAAATATTTGGACAAAAAGTCAGTAATACGCAGCAGGCAGCAGCTACTATTTTAGAGAGAATTGGAATTTTTCCGGCTCGGCATTGTCTATCCAATTTATTATAAACTTGGTTAGATGGGCTCAGGGGATGGAACCGAGATCTTTAAATTTCAACGCCAGCATGATCAAGGTCAACGCTACATCGCTATATTTACCAGGCCATGACCATAGCGTATTTGTAAAAATTGTTCGAATCGAATTGCTTCGTGACATCCATAAGTGACATTTAAAAAATCCAACCAAACATTATAATATAAATCACAGCCAATATGAATTTTTCAATTGCAGTTTTGTTCCGTTTATACTTCTCAACGGTATATCATCAAAACAATAATAATTACGTTAAATTATTATAAACAAAACGAATATTATAACTATGGCCCACATCCGAAAATATACAAGCGGCGGTTTCGCGCAATTTAGAATGTATTGACATACGAGGAATGGTAGTTAAGTTACGGATGTGTCCGCAAGACGAATACGAATATTCTTGATAATCAATCTAGCCGAATTTAGTGGAATCACCCCATACAGGCGCGTTTCGTAAATCCTAATTGTCACATGTGCACCCTTCTCGTGCTTAAATTTATGCATGATCTGTGTCACAACTTACAAGATGCAATGTGTGTATTTGAACGAGAACTATCGAGAGAAGCGCGCCAGACACAAACACACTTTTTACCAATCGAGGTCAAATATATCTAGCGCGTGTGCGCTCGTCAGACCGTACTCTGCTGTTTCTCTTTAATAACTTGTACATCTCAGACGCCCCTAATATTTACACAACAAAGAGAGAAACACGGGTTGCACAGAATAGAACCCCATGCCACAAAACAGCCCTCATGACCGTGGTAAGGTAGAGTTTTGGTGGTTTATTTAAACTTGAAATGTGTACATTTGGCGGAGTGTATGTGCCGCGCCGACACGCGCGACCAGACAGCCGCTTTAGGGCATATTCGTATGTCTGGTCGGTAAAGGGAGTATGTCTGAAACCAGTTCTGCTGTAAAGCCAAGCTGCTAAAGCTTTTATGGGCGAGTTATAAACCCAGTCAGCAGTTCGTTAGATACTTCGAGTGGAAATCGATTGAATTCACATTTGCTATTAGTTTATTTCAGTTCAGACATCACGTAGCAACGTTTTCGCGAAAAGAAGATTTGAGTACAGTCATATATATACACATGATTAATATGCAATTTCAACATTTTATGCTTGGACGCCAGGAGCAACATATGGACCTTTGGGAAGATGCTTGACGTCGGTGCAGTATGCGTACCAACTTCGTTGAAGTACTTATTGGTATGATATTTACTATTCCAAATACAGCGGAATAAGGGTTGTAGTAATTTACGACTGTTGATGACCTTGTTCGGAAATTTATATCTAAGATGCTGTTGCCGTGAATTCTATGTTGTGAAATAGTGTACAAATTAATCGTCATTGATTTCAAATAAGTCTGTAAGGGGCGACAAAACGAACAATGTTCAAATGGCGTTTAGGACCATTCATCCTTACTCAAAACCGTTACTAGCAGACCGTCCGAATTGAAGTCCGATAGTTTTGCACGAAAGGCTTCAAACCATCCCATTTTAATCTATATAGCATTGGTTTCCAACCTTTTTCGTCAAATTCCTCTCGTCTCCTGATTGGGAACTCTTAATTCCTTTATCGTATGCATAGAAACTGTTTACTCAATCTTTAATGAATTTTAGCTAATGTTATGCTCATGCTGCACTCCCGCATTTGTACAGTTTAACCACGAGGCACAGTAGGCCCCCTAAGTAAGACTCAGTTGATAATTTCCTGACATTGTTTTCAATCGGTCTCATTATAGGATTTTGATATCTGTCGTATACGATGAAAATGCGATGCTGATTTATATTATTAACAATAAATTATTATTTTTATAGCTTCTGCCACACTGACTTCTCTACTATTACCGTGTCATACATTTTCCGCAGAAGGTAAGCAAAATTTGTTATATTCAGACTGGTTACAAATCCTATTTCTTCGTTACGATTTAATTTTACCAATTATCTTGTGTTGGGTTTTATATACCAGCGGTTTCCACCGCTTGCACTAATTTCAGTATTTCTGGTGACATAGCCGAAATTGTGTCTTCATCATTCAGATAGCCACTTTTTATACTTGGGTGTACGATGTTTAGATTATAATTTCAGTATTGCTGGAGGCATAGCCGAAATTGTTTCTTCGTCATTCAAATAGCCAATTTTTTATACTCGTGTGTAAGAAGTTTAAATGATAATTTCAGTATTGCTGGCGACATAGCCGAAATTATATCTTCATCATTCAGATAGCCAATTTTATACTCGGGTGTGCTAAGTTTAGATGATAACTCCAGCATTTCTGGCGACATAGCCGAAATTGTGTCTCTATCGTATTTCGAGTTCCGAGACACTTTTGACCACAGTTATTCTTACGATTTATTATGGCTGAAATTTGATCAAATATATCGTAGGATTCATTTTTGTTCAGGACTTTATCCAGTTAATTACAGTTAACGAATCCGCGGTAGAACGTTTTCGACGAAAACTATTTATTTCATATTCGGAAAATAAAAGATTACCTTCCTTGTGTAAGCAAACGTTTCATTATGTAAAATGCATTGATATCCTTCTTTGACATATAAATATATTTTACCATTAGTGTCCAGGAAAGGGTATTACTGAACTATTATGAACACGTTTGTAAGTTTTCCATAAAAGGTGTAACTAACAGGTATTTAAATTGGAATAAACGACCTCACCCGTTTTGTTTAGGCAATTGTGCCGATGCATACAAACAACTAATGCAAAATTGCCTTCATAGTTAATTTAGACCAGGCGGACTTGAGACGCATGAATTGAATAAACGTTCATTTTATCGAGATTTGTTTATTTGGCAATTGTAAAAAATACTATCGCATTTGCAACATCCAACCTTGCCCCTAAACTTTGTTCCAGGGCTGTGGTGTCGGGGAAAATGTACAATCGACTCCCGACTCCGGTTTAAAAAAAAATTTCTTCGACTCCCATAACCGGGTTAAGAAAAAATTAGACTCTGACACGTGACACCAGCCGACACCAAGCCATCTTTAATAGACTGATAAGAACATTAGGTCAACTTAATACTTTTTGAATTTCTGTAGAAAACCAACCACTGGAAGTCCGAAATTTCGACTCCGGAGCATTAAGAATTTATTACTTAGACTCTTCATGAGTTTGAAAATGCGACTCCAGCTTTGACCTCAATGAAAGCATACTGAGTCCGACACCACAGAGGTATTGCTCAACCTAAACAGCGTAACTCGAGTAAAAACGCGAGTTTCAATAATTACCGTATTATTGATTCTCTATATAAAAATGATTTATTCGAATCCGCGGCCTTGGGGTTGGGAAGCCGGTGTCAGACACAATTAATCAACACTAAATGATTTTTTGAGTGCTAATCGAGAGTTTCTTCTATGTAGATGGCAATTTTTGTGGGCGGATTCTCACTCGTGAAATAGAATTTAAATGGTCAGCCAAAAAGCGAAATTTGGTGGCGTCATCAGAAATCGGCGAGGAACAATTGTCAATTACTGCGGAGGAAACAGAACCAGCAGCGGATGTTATTAATCGGAACAGGTTATGTATATCTGCACCAGATGGAAGTCACGTGAAACTAACCATATTCCTTGACCCTGCCGTCGAAAAAGAAAAGTCTGTAAACAGCAAGTGTCGGTCGTATCATTCAGACTGCAAAATTTCGTGTTTAGAAGTTTACGATCCCGGAGATCGACATACAGAAGAAGTGAAAGATGAAACAACCGCGAAGCATATGTATTTTACCAATGTAGTGAGACCAAAACAATCCGTCAACTTAATCAACGGTACTGGTGAGAATTCCACAAGAACAATGGAGCAGATTGACCGATTTCCCCGAAATTCAATATTTTATAATCGAAATCAGATCCCCGATAAGACCAATTTTATTGCAAAATTGAGCCGAAGAAGGCAAAGAACACATAAATCTAAAAAGAAAAAGTCTAGAAAGAAACGTAAAAATCGCACGCGTAAACGAGAACTAGAATTGTTTCAATTGTTACTGCAATATCATGAACTGCTCATGGGAGGGGACGTTGTAGCCTTACCGAAAACAGACCATATTCCTACTGGCATTTCGTACCCACCAAATAAGGTCATAGAAAATTCGGAAGCTTTGAAAGAAGTATTCAACAAAATAAATAGTTTTGTTGAGTCTGATAAACGAAAAGAAAGTCGTAGTAGCCAAGTGCGACCAATTGCTTTGAAAGATGGATCGCAGACATATTATCAACCTAAAATAGTTGGAGTGAAGCCGTCTTTTGCGCCATTGGACCAAGATAGACGAAAACGCCAAGCTTCACTTGGTAACAGTACTCGAATTAGTAACAAAATTTCTAACACCACAGTTCTACAAAAAAAATTTGTACCTAGCTTCACTTTGTGCGGTCGGGAAGAACAATGGAACGTTTCGGTAAGCGAACTGAGTGGGTTTTTGATATCAGAGGAAAGCCACGAGAATACAACATTTGTCCGAGTTTCTAGAGGACAACGCAGTAACGAGAACCGAAGTCCAACTTGGATATCAACACTGGATAAACCAGTTTTGATCGAAACTCTGAGTCAAAGGATGGAGCTTAATGTGGTTAATGCAAGAGACGTTGACGATACCTTGCTGCGATTTCTTATTATTAAGATTGTATTCGTACCAAACGAACGAGAAACAGATAAGGGTACGTTGTTCTTATATGTAGTTTATTTCGTTCCACATACCTTGGTATTTTAATATGCACATTCTTACCAACTCCCAAGTATTTGAAGCGAAGACCAACATTCAGGTATCCTTACTGACATGTTCTATTTTGGTCGCGGCGTAGGAATTCGCTTACAAAAGGATTGATGTCAAACGAACCTCATTGGTTTCTCATGAAAAAATATAGCGGACTACGAAAAAATAATAAATCTTAAACCCACCAAGATTGCTTAATAATATCTAAGTAAAAATTTTTTAAATATTGTTATAGCTCTTGTATCGGGTGAGGAAATTCAACAAATATCTACAAAAAACATTCGTTTTACCTCAAAATCACCCACAATCGAAAACAACATGAAAGATGTTTTGAAGGTAACTTCAATTGCTGGCCAACAAGATTCCGGTCATGGTGACAAGGATTCTATCAAAATTGCTGTGGGTGTGGCGGCGGGCGTCGTTGCTATTGTAGTTTTCATATCCATGTGCATATTTTTGGTGGATCGCAGGCGGCGACAGAAATCGTCTTCTTTTTCGGGCAAGCGTCCGAAAGAAGATCTGATAGACATTGCAGAAAGCGAAAAGTGCCTTTCGACTGATGAAAAGGCGAACGTAAAATCACAATATAAAATTAGTGGGAGAAGAAAAATGGTTCTAGAGGAAAACTCGTCAGACACGGTGAGTCCCTGATTTTTAACATTAACACATTGACATATTTATTTAGATCTGTAAGCATATTCGCGTTATAAATTTAAGTTCTAATCGACTTTCGCTTATGGTGTGAGTTTTTTCATTTCCGAGTGTTCTGGCCCAGCTTAGCAAAACACTGTCTGGAAAGATTTTATTGCCTGATATATCTCGTCTAAGCAACTCCCCCACAGGAAAGGCTTTTGGTAGACAAAAAATAGATCAAAAATAAATCTGTCACTTCGTTAAATCTCTCAATTTTACAAAAACACTCGTTCGAGTTATTTCACTTACATTCCCAAATAAGTTTGCTTATTTCGTTTTGAATTTCGCTGCACCGCTTAATCTCGTGAAGGTTTCCTGATATCGGTTTGTCGCACATACATACTCTTCCATTAGTTCGCCTACTTTATTTATCTTGTTTAAACGTGAAAATTATCAGTATACTATGCAGAAACATCAACTTTGACCGTGTATGAAGTGTATTGTTTCGCTGTTTAGGAAATCGTCATAGAGCTCGAGGCTATGAACTGTGTCAGGAATGTGTTGTCCATGCACTAAGCATCTTTGTATTTTATGTATTTTAAAAGGAAAATGTTATTTTATAGGAATGTACGGTTCCCGCCCGAACTAGATAACTGAGAAAGCTGTTCCCATTCAAATTGACAATTGTGACCATGTATCAATCCCTATTCATAACCTTTAATTAAATGCCAGTTATCTTTTCCTTAAGTAGACGAGCCCTTAACATGTTGCCAGGGACATATGTCTCTTATACAGTTTGCTTATTTTTTATTTGACCGCCTAAAATTATCCTTGAGTATTACTATTCAGCATTACCAGGTATCAGTAATTATGGTAATATTTCATGAACAATTTTGATTCATCCTCGTCAGTATCTCCATTCCTCAACCTTGATATCTGAAATAGGGATTTTTTGTCATCAAATCCTACCCAATCAAAATACTTCAACAAATCGAAACGACCGCAGTCAGTTGTCAACTGGCGTTATTGGGGGTTTGCGCAATCTAAAATGCTACAAATGTATTTTTTCAATAGTTCCTAAGAATTGCAATGAACAGTGTGTGTGTGTCCTGTTTACTAGATCGAAATATTGTTGCATTATGCTATTTTAGCTACATTTAGCGACTTGGTGTATCCGTCTCACCATAGTAGATATTGGGAAATTTGTAATTACGTCGTTACCAAGTTAATACGGCAGTTAAAATTCGTTGGCCCATTATGAGCTGTATCGACCTTGCGCTTTTGCGTATTCCATTACTGAGCTTTTCTCATTAGTAGCGCGGGCGCGTTGCTTACGGTGAGTATCAAAACATCACGTCCGAAATGGCAGACGGCGTGTCCACAAACAACGACCTCCCATTTGCACTGTATAAGTCAAAAACAGCAACGTTACTCGTGAATCTTTGGATACATTCTCATATTGTGGTGTACCTTGATAGAATGTATTATGTTGTGCAAGTATTTAATGATACTTATTTGAAGCCAGAATTTTAACTATTACCATTTACTCGGTAAATGCTGTTTACTTCCGGTTCGAGCATTAAAAAATAATTTGGGTCTTTCGCTTCCGAGTGAGTTTTTGTGACCTTGCCTCGAGTAAATATTAAAAAGAAAAAAATCCCACTGACTACGCTTTCATACATATATTTAGGTTTGCGATTATTTCGCAGTGGTATATTTAATGTATATTTTTATATGCGTTGTTTGTTTGTGCCTGCGGAATTTGGGTTTGAGAACACGCGTCGAGTTTCTCACCAACGAGCCAACCCAATATGGACTAAATCGCTGCTAGCGGAACGTCTCAATATTTGGTATTCGGGGGCCATAAAATGCTACGAAACGTAATCATCGGGCAAAAATCACTGATTATAGCTGTGTTCGCGTGCTGATTGAATCTCATTGAATAATACTGCAGATCGCCGTTACCCACCCTATGTTAGTTGAAATATCAAAACATCATTAGCACCTCCCCTGTTTCCTTCATTAAAACTTTGAAATTATTTTTAATATAGCTCGTTTGAGGTGTCTTTAAAAAATATTTTTAGTTTAAACAAGTTAAATATTATGTGTAGTTGGAGTCGGAGATAAAGGATCAATACGATAATTATTATTTTCATTTATATACCGAAAAATAATCACTTAAAATTGGCAACGTGTGTTTATAATAAGCGTATGACTATATAAAATCTCTTTTTGCGTGGACAAATTATCTGGCGGCATTTCGAAGGTGACTTGAGAGCTGTAGTCCATTGATAAATCGTTGACCATTCCTCATTTCTAAATTTTTAATGTAAAAATCTTTTTGGTATTCCGAATGGATGGAATGTGTAAAATCGTTCATTTTTTTCCAATATTTGTATCTAAAATGGCCAGCTACCTTATTTATCTTACTTCCTGCACGATCACCAAACTAACTTTCCGCCAGACAAGTCTTTGTTTATTTCATTTCATTTTCACAGTTGGCATGCTTCCTTTGAAGCAATCCTCAATAACAACCTTTTTCAGCTAATAATTTGACGTCACCATACGTGCAGACACATGTGACGCCTAGTCTGGCCACCGCGCTGTCTGGCTCGTACGTTGTCAGTGAAGGTTTAAATCGAGACTGCTGCGAGTGCGATGCTCGCTACTTTTTGCCTAGTCATTTCACACACGAAATTACTTCATATGCGCCAGACCAAGCCACTTATTTAGCAGATCAATACTATAGCGATTTTGTTCTGGCTTATTTCAATTTATTCAAGCTGTATTTCCTATTGCATTGTTTGGAATAATGAGTAAATGTAGCAAGTATTCCGGATACTTTTTAATTTATGATCTGCTCATGGATTTTCAAATAGACGTTATTATATGTATAAGGTATTCTCATATCCTAATTTGATATTTTGCTACTCGTGTTACTGTTTTATGTTGTTGTTTTTTCTGCCCATTTCGCTCTGAATTGTACGTCTAGACAGAAATATCGCATCAGTGAGAAGACAGTGCTTTCCAACAGTTACTTTCAGTGTTGATGATCAAGTGTTTGAATCGATGCTTATTGCTAGAATATATTGTAAAATTAATTTCAGAATATTGTTAAGAAAAGTAAAGTCGCAGTTTTTATTTGCAACAGTGTTCTGTGATAGCCATGCAGTGTATCATAAGCCACGACGTGTGAGATTTATATTTAGCTTTTCTGATGGTATTTGCATTTAATCGCTGAACCGTATTTTTCACACGATTTTTTAAATTTGTGAAGCATTTGTTCTGGCGTTCTGGGCTCGATGATAACAAGTTGTGCTGTATGATTAATTGGTGTCGGTTCACGAAGAAATTATTGCCTATTGCGCTATATATATATATATCATTTGTAGCGGCGAACAATTTTTCGTGTTGACATTTCACCCAGTACACGTCATTTCAACAACTTGTTGCAGACCTTACCTTCATTTATGACTAGTCTGGATAGCATTCAAGTCAGATATTGCACAGCGAATCGCGACCATTAACCATTGCTGAAAGGCGGAAATGTTGGTATATGTCCGTTCGTCGGTGGAAAAAATCGACATCACCCTGAATGTTATTTGTGTGCTGTACTCGTTGTTTTTCATTGATAAATTTAATACCTGCAAAATCGGTATCACTGCCGGAGTATCAAATTGGCGTTCAGTTAACCCGAGTAAGAAATATTTATCAAGACTAATTGACTAGCCGATTGCGCATATTTCTAACATTCATTCTGGAATATAGAATATGTATTATATAACAATAATTTATCTCGTGGCAAACGTACTCCTGCTTATTTTGTGCTTTTAGCGCTAAAGTATTTCGCATTCAGATGGGCGTGTATGATGCGCAAAAATTTGCAAACAGGTTCTTTCCAAATTTTTTTCTCTTACCTCGTCCAATTTCTGTCGTCAATCGGACTTATTGAAATAATGACCCTGTCGGCGGCTGAGATATGTCTCGCTCGACAGCTCGCTTTCCTCTGAGACATGTCGGATCCTGTACCTTTAATTAAATATTTTGAATGGGTGGGCTTCTGTGGTGAGCCCGTGTTTGCTTGCAAACGTTTCTTCATACCTCAGCCGATTGTTAAACAATAAGTTTAAGCTAAAAAGACAACAATATTGGTTTGTCGCTCTTGATCGCTTTTCGAGCATAATAAACGTATTTCAAAAGAATACTATAATTACCATTTCGATGCTTGCTCTAACCGTCGATGCCAGACGAATTACTACTTATAGGCACGTTTCTGGGAATTTACTCACAAATATTCTTATGATGTACCCACGCTTATTCAGCCTTGATCATACACTTAGTTTTGATTAGCAATGAAAGTGGGTAAACCTCATCGGCTTGGCACGTCTGTCGTCTCGCCAGCGGAGCGATCTCGACTTTCGCGGTCACAGATCATGTTGCGCAATCACACGGTACGAGACTGCCCGAGTCATAATCACACGCTTCGTAATGAGAACTGGTAATGCCAATTGTGGAGATATTATCTTAACATTGTATATCAGTTTATATAGATCGTCCGTGAAAACTGAATTACAGATAACCAGTAGAAATATTAAAATTTACAAATTTTGATATTAAACAAGTGTCGGCATTTAGTTGACATAAGTGCACGTAAGTGTCTGTGAACGCATTGCTGTAAACATTGGTCATAGTTGACTCCTATACTTTATTATAAAACATAGTTGCGCCGTCGTATAGAAAATGTTCATCACATTAAATTAGTCTTCGGTCTTGCATCATGATCCCAGGGGGAATAATAAAGTATTTGGCAAGTTAACATTTTAATACTGTATCTGGATTACCCAGAATACTGGATAAAAGATGAGATGGTTTGTAATTGATATTGAATCGTTAGTTATTGACAAAGTCAAACCTGTGTAGCTTAGCTATTAGTAGGAAACGTTCAGTATCTATGACATATGTCTGCGGTGGATGTTAATTAGTTGTCCAGATACTGATATCTTTCT